AGTGATGGGGTCTGTCACAGCCCTCCTGGGCCCTGTTCCCATTGGTGTCTCAGAACCTGGTCCCTGGGGTCCTGTCCCAACTCCTCTCCTGCTTCCCCTGGAGAACCCACCTGCATCCTGAGAACCTGCTGAAGGAAGTCATGGTCCCACCCACATCTGCTGTGCCTCCAGCTCCACAGACACCACCCCATCCTCACCCTCTGTCCTCTGTCTCCCACACTCTCACCCAATGGGGCCTGCACAGGACGTCCTGTGTGGATGTGTCTTCCCTTTCCTTCCTGCCATGGTAGGATTTGACTAAAATGCACCCACTGGCCATCCTCTCATGCCCATTCCCTGTGCCAGGCCTTCTCTTAGGCGCCAGGCACAGGGCCACTCAGGCATCCTGCTGAGCCCACGGGTGATGTCAGACCATGGGGGCCCCTCCTGTGTCTGTGGTGACACAGCTGAGCACTGAGCTCAGAGCACCTCCAACATCTCACACCTGTGCTGAGGGAACGTCCAGGGGCCCGTGAGCTGCAGAGCATCATGGTGGATAAGCACATGGCCACTGGGGGCAGAGGCCAGTCAGGGAAGGACTGGGGCCTGGTCACCTATGATGTTGCCAATGTCCCGCTGACCAGAGCCCAGGTGTAAAGGGAGCTCCATGAATCCTAAAAGTGCTGGAACAGCCCAGCCAGCATGGCTCAGAGGTTGAACATTGAACTATTAACCAGGAGGTCACATTTATTCCTGGTCAGGGCACATGTCCCGGTTGCCGACAATTTCTTCAGTGTGGGCCATGCAGGAGGCAGCCAATCAATTATTCTCTCTTATCGTTGATGTTTCTCTCTCTCTTCCTCTCAATTCCTCTGTGATATCAATTAAGAAATATTTAAACAAATAAATACATAAATGAAAATGTTGCTGGTTTGATTCACAGTATGGGGATATATGGAAGGCAACTGATCAACACTTCTCTCTCATATCAATGTTTCTCTCTCTCCTTTTCTTTCCCTCTAAAAAGCAATGAACATATCCTCAGGTGAGGATAAAGAAAAAAGTATCTATATCTATACCTATGTATACATCCGCAAACACATCTACATCTCTATCTCTACATTTGTATCTCTCTATCTCTATCTATATCTATATATCTCTGGAACAAGAGGCACACTGATGTTATCCTGAAGGAGTCACTCATTATTCCCACATCCTATTTCCTGACCACCTCCAGCAGCACAGCCCCTGATGTGGAAGGAAAGATCCCTGAGCGCGGAGACCAGGACCCCAAGGAGGGCCTGGTTCTCTGAGGGCACAGTCAGCACCTCCTTCCAGGAGAAGCCCCAGACACCAGGACCTCCCTCACCTCTTGCCCTTTGTATGTGCAGACACCTCCCATATGCAAATGCTCACACGGCCACCAGACACACACACAGTTGGCGTCCACTTATATGCAAGTCCTCCTCACCCTAGAGAATACTTTCTAGGGGACGAGGACCTCACCTGCAAGACATGACTCCCATGTGGCTCTTCCTCTTCCTGCTGTCAGCTCCCAGATGTGAGTGACTCAGGGCTTAGACGTGAAGAGATGGGGACCCTGCATCTGAGCCCAGGACTCACTGTGTTCTCTCTGTCCCAGGTGTCCTGTCCCAGGTGCAGCTGCAGGAGTTGGGCCCAGGACTGGTGAAGCCCTCGCAGACCCTCTCCCTCACCTGCTCTGTCTCTGGATTCTCCATCACAACCAGTGGTTATGCCTGGAGCTGGATCCGCCAGCCCCCAGGGAAGGGGCTGGAGTGGATGGGGAATATCTGGGATAATGGAAACACTTACTACAGCCCGTCCCTCAAGAGCCGAACCTCCATCTCCAGAGACACGTCCAAGAACCAGTTCTCCCTTCAGCTGAGCTCCATAAGCACCGAGGACACAGCCGTGTATTACTGTGCGAGACACACACTGAGGGGAAGTCAGTGTGAGCCCGGACACAAACCTCCCTGAGGAGACAGCAGGGCTGGGCTGCAGGAAACATACTTTAACAGCAGGGGGCGCTGAGGACCAGCACAAGGTCCTGACCAGGAGCAGGTGGAGAGTTGAACAAAGATACCATTTCCTGCTCCATCTTAAATTAGTTTTGCTCCCAGGCTCAGCCACAGAGCTCACAGAAAGCCCTTTCTAGGTCTAGTTTTAGGGATTATATTTGTGAACAAAAAGGGGGCTCTGTCGTAAATCTGACAAATCTCAGTAACTGACGGGACCCTCACAGGAGGCTCTGATCACACATCCTCCCTGGGCAGTCCTGGGGGTGGGCCCGCCCCAGGCCTATGACTTCTTTACTAAAAGGCTCATCTTTGCCTTAAGCACCCTGTCCATTGTTCCTGTGCATCTGGGTTAACACACCTTTGACATCAGCATGACCACCCTCAGGAGAGCACATCTTGGCATCTGTGTGTCCACTTTGGAGACTTACCTATGAGGCCCTTTGCCCATTTTTCAATTGTGTTGTTGTCTTCCTTTTGTTAAGTTGTATGAGTTGCTATGAATTTTGGAGATTAACCCCTTGTTGGACTTACTCCTGCTGTTGCAAATGATAAGAGTTCTTTCTTTTTCATGGCTGCATGGCATTCCATGGTGTAGATGTACCATGGATATTTCGTCCAATTGTATGCTGACGGGCACTTAGGCTGTTTCCAAAGCTTAGTTCTTGTAAATTGAAGTGTGATGAATGAAGGTGTGCATGAATTTTTTCTGATGAGTGTTTTCGGTTTCTTAGGATAGATTTCTAGAAGTAGGATCACTTGGTCAAATGGGAGTTCCATTTTTAATTTTTTGTTTTTTTGTGTTTTTTTAAATTAAATCCTTATTGTTCAGATTATTACAGTTGTTCCTCTTTTTTCCCCCCATAGCTCCCCTCCATCCGGTTCCCACCCCCTCGTCACCCCCCCCCCCCTCCCCACTGTCCTCATCCATAGGTGCATGATTTTTGTCCAGTCTCTTCCCGGATCCTCCACACCTTTTTCCCCTCCAAGAATAGTCAGTCCACTCCCTTTCTATGCCCCTTATTCTATTATAATCACCAGTTTATTCTGTTCATCAGATTATTTATTCACTTGATTTTTAGATTCACTTGTGGATAGATGTGTATTTGTTTTCATAATTTGTATCTTTACCTTTTTCTTCTCTTTCTCTTCTTAAAGGATACCTTTCAGCATTTCATATAATACTGGTTTGGTGGTGATGAACTCCTTTAGCTTTTTCTTATCTGTGAAGCTCTTTATCTGACCTTCAATTCTGAATGATAGCTTTGCTGGATAAAGTAATCTTGGTTATAGGTTCTTGGCATTCATCACTTTGAATATTTCTTGCCACTCCCTTCTGGCCTGCAAAGTTTCTGTTGAGAAATCAGCTGACAGTCGTATGGGTGCTCCCTTGTAGGTGACTGACTGTCTTTCTCTTTCTCTTGCTGCTTTTAGGATTCTCTCTTTGATTTTTGCTCTTGGCGTTTTAATTATGATGTGTCTTGGTGTGGTCCTCTTTGGATTCCTTTTGTTTGGGGTTCTCTGCACTTCCTGGACTTGTAAATCTAATTCTTTCACCAGGTAAGGGAAGTTTTCTGTCATTATTTCTTTAAATAGGTTTTCAATATCTTGCCCTCTCTCTTCTTCTGGCACCCCTATAATTCAGATGTTGGTACGCTTGAAGCTGTCCCAGAGGCTCGTTACACTATCTTCGTATTTTTGGATTCTTTTTTTCATTTTGCTTTTCCAGTTGGGTGTTTTTTGATTCTTCGTATTTCAAATCTTTGACTTGATTCTTGCGATCCTCTGGTCTGCTGTTGGAACTCTGCATAATATCCTTTATTTCAGTCAGTGTATGCTTAATTTCTAGTTGGTCCTTTTTCATAACCTCGAGGGTCTCACTAGATTTCTTGAGGGTCTCACTACATTTATCGGTGGTCTCACCAGACTTTTTGAGGGTCTTACTAAATTTATCAGTGGTTTCTAGAAAGTTCTTTGAAAAACCTTAAAGTGTGGTTTTGAACTCTATATCCAGTCATTTGCTTTCCTCCATTTCTGTCATTTGTGATCTGTTTCTTTGTCTCCGCATTTTTTATGCTTCCCTGTGTTGGTTTATGTGGCTTTGTGTGCTAGGTTTCCTATAGGGCCCAATGGCTCAGCCTCCCCAATTAGCTGAGGTGGACACTCTTGGTGCACCCCTTTGTGGGCTTTGTGCACAGTCTTGTTGTAGTTAAGCCTTGATTGTTGTAGGTATCACTGGGAGGAATTGACCTCCAGGTCAATTGGCTGAGAATAAGCTGTGTCTACGGTGGGAGAACTTCTGTGCTGAAGACACCCTTATGAGGCAAGATTTGCTTCAGTGGGGCTTTGGTGCTCACTGAGTCTGCCCCCTGAGTTGTCCCTTATGGATCTGAGGAGTTGTAATTGGATGGTCCCACTCTGACCACTGGATACACTGGCTCTTGGATCTAAGGAGGTGCTAATTTAACCTCTGCCTGAGGCTACCCAGCAGGCGCTACAAAGAGATCTGCAGATTCCCCTTCCTTGTCTGGGGTTTGGAGGTGCCCAAATGAGGCCCAGCTGTGAAGCAATGCAAGCTGCTGTGGGGCCTTGGGCCTTCTCTTGGAAGTTCTGGGTCTGTCTCCATTTTTAATTTTTAAATAGAAATCCATATTGTTTACCATAATGGCTGCACCAGTCTGCATCGCTAATGGACCAAATAAACCGATGAACAAAAATAAACCCGGAGACATGGAAGCATCAACAGACTCCGGAACCTCAGAGGGAAGGCAGGGGAGGGTGGGTGGGAAGAGATCAACCAATGAACTTGTCTGCATATATGCCTAACCCGTGGACATAGACAATGGGGTAGTGCAGGCATGGATGGAGGATGTGGGGAGCTGGATGGGGTTTATGGGGGGAACGGAAGGCCTATATAATACTTATAACAATAAAGATTTTTAAAAAGAGAGATAGAGAGCAAGCAAATCTCGTCAACTATCCTGGCATCCAGTCCCCACCTTGCTCTATCCCACCTCCATGTCATTCCTCCCCTTCCCTCCTTAACTTCAAATGCAAAAACGGAGCTGAAAATTATTATTCTCTGGAGCATTTGAAGTCTTGCTGCCCAACAGTTGTTGACAGTTTGGCTCCAATAAAATCTTATAAAACATTCTCTCCATGTTTGGACATTTCGTACATCAAGCTGTTGTCTTTCCTTCATTTACCACATACGTTCATACACGTTTGCTCCCCGTGTGGAGAGGGAAGTGCACACAATTATTAAAAACGCCCTGCCTCCACATGACTGTGGTGGTGAGTCTAAAGAGTTCAAAACCTTTGGATTGGGGATGATGTTCCAACCACAGAGCCAACCAGCCAGGTCTCCGTGTGTAAATGATGGAAATTCTCCCACTTTGAGGGGCTAGTAAAACAGGGCTTTTGCACACGAACAGCAGGGAAGTTGAGTGAAATGTGTGGTATCAGGAGGCATCTGTGTTCTTGTGAGAGTGGCAGCAGGTTTGAGACAGAGGCTTCAGCCACAGCGTCCAGCCCAGCCTCTCCTGCCTCCTCACCTGTAGAGGTTCCAGTTTTCTGGAGGATCTGACTGAGGAAAATAACAAGGAGAATCTTTCAGTCTCAAAATGAAAGAATCAGCCAATTCAAATTCTTATTCCCAAAACCAAGAAAGGCAACATGGCTGATGGCGGGTGAAGGAGAATGAGAGGAAGCGCCATCCACGCGCCTCTGGGGGAGCACCCCTGGGTCCTCATCAAAACCCCAAGGAAGGAGGACTCTCAATCCTGGAAGCTGTCCCCAAAGGAATGGGGTCAGGGTGACGGGTCTCAGGAAAGGAGGGAGGGAGGGGGGTCAGGACGGGACCCCTTGTGGCCAGCATCCTTGAGTCCTTTCCCATCTGGGGTCTCCCCTAGGATGACAAGGTCAGGCATGCAGCCCAGGGTCCCAGCTGCACCTTATATGCAGACTCCATGCAAATGGGGCTCTCCTCCTGCTCATAAAAGGGGCCCTTGCCCGGCATGTTGGGGAGACACCCAGAACCCAAGCGCCTGAGACAGGACCACAGCGGCTCCACCATGGACTTGGTGCCAAGCTTCGTTTTCCTCCTGATCATTTCTCAAGGTGGTTCTCAGGAGTGGGGGGCGCTGAGACCTGTGCCTGTGCCTGTTGTGCTTCCATGTGATTCTCAATCCACCTTCTGTCTCTGTATTTGCAGGTGTCCAGTGTGAGGTGCAGCTGGTGGAGTCTGGGGGAGGCTTCGTGCAGCCTGGGGGGTCTCTGAGACTCTCCTGTGCAGCCTCTGGATTCACCTTTGATGACTACTACATGCACTGGATCCGTTGGGCTCCAGGGAAGGGGCTGGAGTGGGTATCCGCTAATAGTGGTGGTGGTAGCTCAAAATACACCAACTCTGTGAAGGACCACATCACCATCTCCAGAGACAATGCCAAGAACACGCTGTATCTGCAAATGAACAGCCTGAGAGCCGAGGACACATCTGTGTATTACTGTGCAAAACACACAGTGAGAGGTAGTCAGTGTGAGCCAGGACACTAACCTCCCTCAGGAGACAGTAGGGCTGGGCTGCAGGTGGCATCCAGGACACCAGGGGGCGCTCAGGACCAGCAAACCCAGGGTCCCAACTCAGAGGCTGTCCCTGGAGGGTGGTGCAGGCTTCCTATTGGGGTCAATGCTTTCTTCCCTCCTAGAGTCCCTGGGGCAGTTCCTCTTCCTTCTTTGTATCTTTAATTAGATTCTCTGCAGGAAAAAGCAGGAAGTGGCTGTGTGTCAGATCTGGTCGACTTCTCATCTGGGTCCTGCCTGTCACCAGGTCCCTGATGGTTGCTCTCTGGGTTGACAAGGAAAACATAGTAGGGATTCCTATCCCCTCACTGAGAGCAAGGTCCTCCACCCTCCACGCAGTGCTTAGCAGGGAACATGGAGTCCCGTCCCCAAACCTCACCTGAGTATGATCGGCCCCTCACTCTGCCCCAGGAGGAACCCTTTGGGGGCAATTAGCTGCTTGCCTCTCAGTGTCATGGCTGCACATGGAGGTGTAGGGTTGGACCCTGCAGATGCTGCCCCTCCTTGAGCCTGGAAGCTCCCACCTCTCCGTGTGCCCCAGATGGAGGCAGGAAGCCCTGCTGGGCCCATTTCCCTGTGGGTCTCAGAACCTGGTCCCAGGGGACGTGTCCCAACACCTGTCCCGCTTCCCTCCAGAACCACCTGGATCCTGAGAACCTGCCGAAGGGAGACATGGTCCCACCACCTCTGTTGTGCCTCCAGCTCCGCAGACACCACACCATCCTCACCCTCTGTCCTCTGCCGCCCACAGTCTCACACCACGGGGCCTGCACAGGACATGCAGTGTTGCTGTGCTCTTCCCTCTCCTTCTTGCCCTGGTAGGTTTTACCTTAAATGCACCCCCACACCATCCTCTCATGGCCATCTCTTGTGCCAGCCCCTCCCTTAGACGCCAGGGCCAGGGCCACTCAGCCAACCTGCTGAACCCACATGTAGGGTCCACATGTGATATCAGGTCATGGAGGCCCCTCCTGTGTCAGGTGGAGACACAGGTGAGCACTGAGCTCAGAGCACCTCCAACATCTCACACCTGTGCTGAGGGAACCTCCAGGGGCCTGTTAGCTGCAGAGCATCGTGGTGGACAAGCCTGTGGCCAGTGGGGTCAGAGGGCAGTCAGGGATGGGCTGGGGCCTGGTCACCTATGATGTTGCCAACGTCTCGCTGACCAGAGCCCAGTACACAGAGAGCTCTGTGAATCCTAAAAGTGCAGGGACAGCCCAGCCAGCATAGCTCAGTGGTTGAGTGGTGACCTATGAACCAGGAGGTCACGGTTGATTCCTGGTCAGGACAAATGCCCAGGTCCCCGTCAACATCCTCAGTGTGGGGCTTTCAGGAGGCAGCCAATCAATTATTTTCTCTCATCTTTGATTTTTCCCTCTCTCTCTTATTCTCCCTTCCTTTCTAATATCTATTTTTAAATATTTAAATAAATAAATGAAAATGTTGTTGGTATGATTAGCAGTATGGGTGTATATGAGAGGAAACTGATCAATGTTTCCCTCTGTCCTTCTCTCTCTCCTTTCCTTTCCCTCTAAAAATCAATGAACACATCCTCAGATGAGGACAGAGAAAGAAGATCCAGCCTGGCTCGGGTTGCTCAGTGGTTGAGGGTTGACATAGGAACCAAGAAGTCACTGGTTTAATACCTGGTGAGGGCACATGATGGGTTTACAGTCTCCATCCCCAGTGGGGCCCATGCAGGAGCCAGACAATCAATGATTCTCTTGTGTATGTTTCTTTCTATCCCTCTCCTGTCCTCTCTCTCTAAATATCAAGAAAATTATATATTTTTAAAAATATCTGTATCTATGTCTATCTCTATATCTATATCTATAACTATATCAATAACCATATCTCTATCTCTATCTCTATATCTATATATTATCTATATCTATGTCTAGTCTATATCTATATCTATATCTACATCTATATCATCTATATCTATATCTATATCTATATCTATATCTATAACTATATCTATATCTATTCCAGCAGAGGCACATTGATTTCATCCCTAAAAAGTCACTGATTGTGCCCACATCCTACTTCCTGACCACCTCCTGCAGCATAGCCCCTGGTGTAGAAGGAGAGGGCCCTGAGCACGGTGACCAGGACCCCAAGATGGGTCTGGTTCTCTGAAAGCACAGTCAGAACCTCCTTCCAGGAGAAGTCCCAGAGACCAGGACCTACCTCACCTCTTGCCCTTTGTATGTGCAGACACCTCCCATATGCAAATGCCCACACAGCCACCAGACACACAGACAGTTGGCGTCCACTTAAATGCAGGTGCCTCCTCACCCTGGAGAATACTTTCTGGGAGACGAGGACCTCACCTGCAAGACATGACTCCCATGTGGCTCTTCCTCTTCCTGCTGTCAGCTCCCAGATGTGAGTGACTCAGGGCTTAGATGTGAGGAGATGGGGACCCTGCATCTGAGCCCAGGATTCACTGTGTTCTCTCTGTCCCAGGTGTCCTGTCCCAGGTGCAGCTGCAGGAGTCGGGCCCAGGACTGGTGAAGCCCTCGCAGACCCTCTCTCTCACCTGCTCTGTCTCTGGATTCTCCATCACAACCAGTGGTTACTGGTGGAGCTGGATCCGCCAGCCCCCAGGAAAAGGGCTGGAGTGGATTGGGTTCATAACATATGATGGGAGCACTTACTACAGCCCCTCCCTCAAGAGCCGAACCTCCATCTCCAGAGACACGTCCAAGAACCAATTCTCCCTGCAGTTGAGCTCCGTGACCACCGAGGACACGGACGTGTATTACTGTGCAAGAGACACAGTGAGGGGAAGTCAGTGTGAGCCCAGACACAAACCTCCCTGCAGGAAGGTCTCTGACCACCAGGGGGCATTCAGAGTCCCTGAACACAAGGACCAACCCAGCAGCAGGTGCAGTTGGAGGTCTGGGCTGGTTCCTGTGTGGTTTCCTCTTCATGTCACAGTTTCCCTCAGGGAATCTCTGGATTCTGATTCTTCGCTGACGTCTGAGTCTCTGAGCTAGAAAGTCTGTTGTAAAGAGAGAGAACTTTCTCATGTGAACAAAAGGTAGAGAGTCTCTTTCATGCACACTTGTGCCATAATGAGTTTTATCCTCAGATCTTCTGACCCACGTCACCTGTATCTAACAAGAGGCTCTAATGACTCAACTGTGCAGCTCCCCTGAATGCTGGACTGTGGGCACCACATGAGTGTGACCCTAAAGCTGCAGAAGAAGGACCCACAGGGTGACAGTCCTGGTCTTGTCCTCATGCTCACAGCACCCAGAGGACTGGACACCATGCAGAAGCAGAGGCACAGCAGCTGGTACAGATGTTCATGACACACACACACCAAGGGCACATGGGATGGTTATTATGCTCCTGATTGAAACCCCTGAGAAGCACAGGAAAGATCACTCAGCAAGTCAGACCTGCTTGGGTGGAGACTGGAAAGGAGAGGGCACAGGGCTTTTATTTTGACGAGGTGGTGGGGGAGGGGGAGGAATTCTGCCTCCAGAGACTTGTGTGGTTTCAGTCTCCCAAGAACTTCTACAAAGAAATCTATGGCCTCCTCCTTTGCGCCTGCGCACTGCTTTCCCTGTGGCCCCTGCAGTCCCAGGCCCAGGTGAGCTGCCCCATGAACCTCTACCTCCTCAAGGCCCTGCCACCAGCTGGGCTGTTGCCACAGCTGCACCACTGCTGTCCCCTCTTGGTCCTCACGTTGCCATGGGCCAGAACAGGACCAAGCGCTTCAGGGACCTCAGTTCTCCCTCCAGGAGATGGTCAGGCCCATTTGGCAGAAGCAGAGAAGGGGACTCAAAAGGGGAGGCAGAAGCTGCAGGAAAAGCTCCAGCCCTCAGCGCCCAGGTTCCTAGCGCATGTGCACCGGGCTGGCCTTATGCAGCAGCAGCTGGTGCTCCTGGACCTGGGTGACCTGTTCTCCTGGACCCCTGCGCCCTCCACCTCAGGCTGCTGATGAACCCCAGTCTGAGTGTGAGGGAGAGGAGGCAGAGCCACAGGGATCCCAGTGCTTTGGAGGCTTTGAGGTTTGCGAGGACATGGTGACTGCGGATCCCATGACCCCGGTCGCACTGCTCCCAGAGGGCAGCGCTGGTGGGTTCAGACTCGGAGCCTCCACTGAGGAGGAAGAGCACAATAGAAACCCTGTGAGAATGTGGCCACAAGGCCCCACGTGCTGCAGAAGGTGTGCAAGCAGTTATGGCCCAGTGTCTGTGCTCAGCACAGAGGGCGTTTGGAGATGGTGGGACCGTGTTTGGGTGGGTTTCCCACAGGGGCCCTGGCTGTTGCAGGACCATGTTGTCTGTGGGCGGTCCCTGGGGTCCCCCAGAGCTACTGGAAGTGCTTGGGGCGCAGCATGGCGCGGGCTGGAGGCGGCTCTCTGTCCCCTGGGGGTCCCTGGAGGGTGTCCTGTTGGAGCCGCTGGGGGCAGAGCAGTGTGGAACCAAAAGGACATGGTTTCGTCCAAGAGCCGAGCAGGAATCATAAGCGCCTCCCAAGGGCTCATCCGAAGTTTGGAAGACTGACGCGGGCGCAGTGGTCACTCAGAGGCAGGAGGCCGAGATGGAGATGGAAACTGCCCTGGAGGCCGAGAAAAAGCTGCAGAAGGCGAAGGGTGGGGTCTGACCTCAGGGCTGAGATGGAGGAGGATCCTGCTGAGAGAAGGGTCAGGAGGAAAACGTGCATCTGGGATTGACTTCTTCCTGCTCACCAGGAGCCCAGAGGCCCAGCGCTGCTGAAGGCACAGTAGACAGCGCTGCAGGTCCTCTCCCGGAACCCCACTGGGCCTTCGGTTCTAGGGCTGGGACAGCGAAACAGGCGTGGATGGTGGCTGACATGGCCCCTTTCCCAGAGTAGCTGAGGGCCGGCTCCCTCCCCATTTTCTCTCTGAAAACCCAGGTCAACCAGCACTCCCAGAAATGGGCTGCTGCGGTGGACCAGTGTCCAGCCCAGACAGGGGTCCACAAGAGGGGGGGGGGTCGACCAGATGTCGAGACCCGGAAGTGATCTCGGACTGTGGTGAGAGAGAGAGAGAGAGAGAGAGAGAGAGATGGTGGTTGGGGGGGGGGGGTCGACCAGATGACCTGGCCTGGACTTGGTCTTAAGGAGGGAAGTAGGAACACTGGGTCAAATAGGAGTTCCATTTTTAATTTTAGATGGAACTCATATTGTTTTCCATAATGGCTGCACCAGTTTGCCTTACTAATGGACCAAATAAACTGTTGAACAAAAATAGACCCAGAGACATAGAAGCATGAACAAACCATGGAACCTCAGAGGGAAGGCAGGGGAGGGTGGGTGAGAAGACATCAATGAACCGAAGACATGGTTCAACCAATGAAATTGTCTACATACATGCCTAACCTATGGACACAATGAGTGGTGAGGTTCTGGGGAGGGAATGGGAGCAAGCGGGGAGAGGAAAATGGGGAGAAAAGGGGGACCTATGCAATATTTCAACAATAAAGATTAGAAAAGAGAGAGAGAGAACCTCCTGTTAACTATCCTGGCATCCAGTACCCGCCTTGCTCTCTCCCACCTCCATGTCATCCCTCACCTTCCCTGCTTAACTTCAAATACACAAACCCAGCTGCAAACGGTTATTCTCCAGAGAATTTGAGGTCTTGCTCCCCAACAGTTGTCGAAACTTTGGCTGGAATAAATGTTATAAAACATTCTCTCCATGTTTGGACAGTTCTTACATCAACGTGTTGTCTTTACTTAATTTACCACATACGTTCATACACGTTTCTTCCCCATGTGGAGAGGGAGGTGCACACAATTATTAAAATCCTGCTGCCTCCACATGATGGTGGTGGTGACTCTAAAGAGTTGACACCCTTTGGTGTGAGGATGATGCTCCAACCACTGAGCCCCACCAGCTAGGGTTCCATTTGTAAATGATGGAAATTCTCCCACTTTGAGAGGCTAGGAAATAGAGCTTTTGCACATGAATATCAGGGAAGTTGAGTGAAATCTGTGGTTTCAGGAAGGCAGCAGTGTGCTTGTGAGAGTGGCAGCAGATTTAAGATGTAGGCTGCGGCCACAGCGTTCAGCCCAGCCTCTCCTGCCTCCCACATGTAGAGGTTCGCGTTTTGTGGAGGATCTGATTGAGGAAAATAACAAGGAGAATCTTTCCATCTCAAAATAAAAGCAACATTTAATGCAAATTCCTTCCCAAACGCCAGAAAGGCAACATAGTCCACGGTGGGGGAAGGAGAGTGAAAGAAACA